TTTTGAAATCCAAAATGTTCCCTTTCCAATGAATTTCCTTCTCCGGGCAGAGCATTAATTATCTGGTGCTTTGGTACCAGATGGAAAGTTCTTCAATTTAAATAATGACATCATAAGTGAAGAGTTGTGATTTAATTTCACAAGGGATTTAAAAGAGAGAGGAATGGATCACGAGGAGACTGTTTAGTTTAACCACCAACTGTCTTCTTAAAAATAAATAATGCATATACTACAGCCTACTGAGGAGGAATACACTAACTAAGCAGTAACCCATAGCAGGATGGGCCTATAATATGTTCACCACATGCCTCTGGTGACTATGGAAACCTGAACAGAAAGAAAGGCAGAGTGCCTCCCATGCTAAGTCTAGTTATTACCCTCTCGTCTCATGTTACTGTTTCCACAGTTCTTTAAATATGATTTCCCCTCACCCCAAAAATCTGAACTTTTTTCTTATCACTGATTTGCAGATGTTTGTGTCTATTCTTATTTGTATTACAGTAGTGCCTAGAGACCCCCACCTGAGATCAAGGCCTGATTATGCTAGGTTTGTACGCACCCGTACTAAGAAGTGGTCCCTGCCCTGAAGAGCTTAGGCTATGTCTGTACTACAAGCTAGGGGTGTGATTTCCAGCTACGCAATACTTATGCTAGTTCAAGTATAAACAGTAGGACAGCCGCAGTAGCCTGGGTAGTGGCGGCACAGCTTAGCCATGCTGAGGATGTTCATGGGTTTGTTCACTGCATGGCTAAACTGGCACCTCTGCCAGTGCTATCATGGCTACATCACTATTTATACTCACACTAGCTGTCATCGAGCTAGTGCAAGTATGTGTACGTGAGCTGGGAATCTCACCACTAGCTTGTAGTGTAGATGTAGCCTAAGCAGGCAAGACCTACAAAAGCTGGGGGAGGAAACAGAGACAGAGAGAGGTGAAGTGACTTGCCCAAGGTCGTCACACAGCAGGTCAGTGGCAAGGACAAGACGCCCAGGCCAGTGTCTTCTCCATGAGACGCTTGTGGGCCTGACCCTGTGAGGTGTTGAGCACCTCTTAGGAGTGGCTGGGTGATCTCAGTGGGAGTTGTGAGTATAGTCCACCCTTCCCAAGTCATGCTTTGCACCTTGCAATAGCAGGCCCAGTTGGAAAATTCTTTACACTCTTTCTTGCGGGTATGTTTAATACCAAACTAGCTATGAAGCAAATGGCTTCAGAGCCATGGATGGAGCTATCCCTGGCTGAGATTATTGCAATTGTTTCATTTGAAGAATGCACCATAAAATTTGAACTGTAATTGAAAGTAGTAATTTTTTATATCAAACATGTTAAGTGATGAAAGAGTCAGTGAAGCAGTTTAGTGGCATGGTGGGTATTGCAGAATACAACTATGGAAACAGCATTCGGGCAGCAGCACAGGGCACCAGAAAGTGATTTTTAGGTTTTGATGACAAGGTGGCACTCGGCATGAACAGCCCTGGGCTATGGCTACTCAAGAGTTGATTTCCGGCCTGCTGCTCCACCACTGGTAGCAACTGTAGGAGTGCTGGTAAGAAACGGCCACTGGAGATTCAAACATCATGTTAAGTTTGGAAGCTTCTATTTTTGGGCCTCTGCTATATAAACTGCTAGGGCTTGATTGGTTTGAGATATTGACCTTTTACAGCTCCCATTGACTTCAGCTGGAGGTGTGGGGTGCTCAGCAGTTCAGAAAATCAGGCCCTAGTGCAGGGGTGCTCAAACTTTTTGGCCCGGGGGCCACATCGGGGAATAGAAATTGTAGGGCGGGTCATGAATGCTCACAAAATTAGGGTTGGGGTGCGGGAGGGGGTGGTGGGCTCTCATTGGGGCTGGGGATGAGGAGTTTGGGGTGTAGGAGGGTGCTCTGGGCTGGGACTAAGGGGTTCGGAGGGTAGGAGGGGGGATCAGGGCTGGGGCAGGGAGTTGGGGTACAGGAAGGGGTGTGGGCTCCAGGGTGGGGCTAGGGATGAGGAGTGCAGGAGGGTGCTTTGGGCTGGGATCGAGGGGTTTGGAGGGCAGGAGGGGGATCAGGGCTGGGGTAGAGGGTCGGGGCATGGGGAGAGGCTCGGAGGTGCAGGCTCCGGGCAGCGCTTATCTCAAGTGGCTCCCGGAAGCAGTGTCATGTCCCTTCTCCCACTCCTATGCGAGGCACAGCCTGGTGGCTCTGCGCGCTGCCCCCTCCGCAGGCACCGCCCCTACAGCTCCCATTGGCCAATGGGAGCTGCAGGGGCGGTGGCAGCGTGCAGGGTGAAGGCCCCTGGCAGCCCCTACACATAGAAGCAGGAGGGGGGGGCATGCTGCTGCTTTCGGGAGCTGCGTGGCACGGCCCCCGACCCCTCTCCCCAGTGGGAGCTCGAGGGCCGGATTAAAAGGGCTGGCGGGCGAGATCCGGTCTGTGGGCCATAGTTTGCCCACCCCTGCCCTAGTGGTTTCTAAAACTGGGTGCCCAAACTTTGAAGCCACTTCTGAAAATCTGGCCCCAAGTGACTTGCCAAAGGCCACACGAGTCAGCATTAGAGCCAAAATTAGAACTCAGGAGGATCCTGACTTTCAGCACCATGTTCAACCCACCAGTGCTGGCCGTGTAAGAAACAGGAAACCCACTTTCTTACCTGCTGTAGCGCAATGTAATTCGGCAGTAAGTCTTGTCCTTCTTCTGATTATAAAACTAGTGTTCACAACACGAGAACATTTCCTGGGGAAGAAAGGAAGGAAATGAATGAGACAAAGGATGAAAAAGATAGAGAAGACAGAATGGCTGAGTAGTTTAACTGAATTATTGCTTTGCCGCCTGTAATTCTCCAACAGCTCCTTTTACGTACTGCAAGGGAGTATTCTACCTATCTATCTAATCGTAATGTATTTATTCCAGAAAGTTTCTGAAACAACTGCAAGGTTTTTCTGTACAATCTCACTGCATGTATTTCTGCCAGACCCCCTAGGGGTAAAGTTTCAGGGGGTCTTTGGCCCACCTTCTGTGGTGCAACATTTACATGCATAACTGAATTGCAGGTGCAAATCTGAGTGCTGGTGCCTCCTTCTAATCAATTGCAGGTGCCAAACAGGCAGTAAGTGGTGCAAGTGCTCAGATTTGTTCCTGCAAATCTTTGCATGCTCATAACAAGGGGGACCAAGTTTCAAGCTTTCTGAAAATATAGCCCAGTATCTGGAGCAGTTTTGCTAAAGTGTATCCTTTTAGGAGATGTGAGGTGCAGAGCTTAATTGGAATTGAAAGGGGGTGTTTAAGTCTTAGGTGGGGTTGATTTCACCTGTGTGAATTGGTGTGTGTATAATGGGGGTAATTATTTCTCTTTTTAGGGGTGTGACAAGAAAGCAATGGTTTGGGACATGAGGTCTGGACAGTGTATCCAGTCATTCGAAACTCACGAATCGGATATCAATAGCGTCAGGTCAGTGCATTTCTGGCAGAACACTTTTACAACAGTGTAATGTTAAGCTACATGTTGATTTTTATTTCTGAAAGCCTACTTCATTTGACTAACACATTACTGTACTCTGTTCCCCCCTGCACAGATACTACCCAAGTGGGGATGCTTTTGCCTCTGGCTCTGATGATGCCACAGTAAGTTTATTCAAGAACTTCATTTGGAAAAGATTTGTTAAGTCTCATATCATAAATCCCTACCAAGAATGGGCCAAATTCACAGCTCACATGAAGTGATTTTTATTAGACCCAAGTTATTAATATGTAGATATAGGGAAATGCTTGCAGAATTCCTAGCTGGCCTTTGGAAGGTTTTGGGGTTGGGACAATTTCTGTGTGAGATCTTCCAGCTTCGTGCATGCTATCAGATGAGCACGGTCACTATGGGAGGCATACAAGGAGTTTCAAAAAGATTTTTAGGCAAATACTCAAACTCCCTCCATTAATCTGCCTGTAAAATTTGCAGTCACATCTGTTTACACAAGCAAACTAAATTTGCATGTGCTGCTGTATGCTCCCCTGAGTTTTGTAGGCACATAAATAGTGTCCAGCTGAAAATTTCCCCTTAAAACCTTCGACTGACTCTCTGCCATTTTAAATTGTGCTCCATTCTTGGGAACTGCTAGGAGGGCTAAACTCCTTCCCCTCTGTGGTTGCTCTAGGATCTGGCCCAGATCCTCTGGTGAGGCCAGATGATACCGAGCATAAGTCACAAGTGATTGTGCCAAAGCTAGCTTTAAGCTGCTGCTCTGTGTGGGCCAGTCTGTCAGCACTGTGTCAGTCTAACGTACTCTGGGCTGCAACAATCATGAAGGCACAAACATAGGCAATATTGATCACTGCGCCAACCTACTTCTGGAGTATAGACTGTCCAACTTCCAAGTGTTCATGTGGAGACTGATTGATGCTGTATCAATATGTGTGTTTGCACTTCACTCAAATTTATGTTCTCACTTCAGAGAGAAATGTATAGAAACTAACACCAGCTTTACCCTCTGAAAAGTGGTGAACATATGACAGCCCCATCATGAGGCATCAGCAAAGGCAGGATATGGGTTGGATATGGGTTTTTAAGCACCAACTCACAGTTCTCTCTCCCTTGATGTAAAGGAGTAACTCCAGCAGCTCGTAGCATTAGTAGGCCGTTATCCTCTATTAGGGGTGGATTTTGACTCTGGAAGTCTTCAGGTTAAGACTGGATGCTTTTGTGAAAGGTATATTTTAGCCACACTCAAGTTAATGGGCTCAATACAGGAGAAACTGGATGAAATTCTATGGCCTCCATTATGCAGAAGGTCAGACTAGATGATTTAATGGTTCCTTCTGACCTTCAAATCTATGAATAAGACCTTAGGAAAGGACATGGCCCATTAAGTTAGCATGTTACATGCAATATGCTATTATCCCATAATGATCCAGTTTTGCAACATGATTCTCATCCGCTGTCAGTGGGTCTCCATATGGGTACAAAGGAATCAGAATCTGGGCTGAAATTTGTCAGACTTCAAAGGGGACTCTTCAGAAGGAATTTGGAGATATTTTCTGTTTGCTCAAGCATTGCCTTTAAGCATGGGTGGGACACAGTCTTACTGAAGTACTCGGACAATGTAACAAATTTTGGGTCTAATCCAAAGCTGATTTAACTCAATGGAAACATTCCTATTTACTTCAATGGGTTTGGGATCAGACATTTTGTGTGCTTTCATGAGAAAGTGCATGCTGTTTTTAGAAGCCAAAACCCTCTGTTATAAATGAATACATCTAGCTGCGAGTACAGTGTATGTTAGCAAATAGGGGTATCATACTGTAAGGATCTGCATTGTGGAGGCAATGAAATGGAGAAATTCTCCATTACTAAAATTCATATGAGAACGCACTAATTTTTCAAAAGTGCCACAAACTATGGCAACTGTGCTATTAGTTAAAAAGAAAAACCCATCTAATCAATTGTGTGTGAATTCCTCCAAACTAAATAGAAGAATGGAAAATTCCATCTTCATACTTTGGGGAATGGAGGTGGGTCAGTTCCTCTGACTCCTGGGTTGTTGTTTTTTCTAAATTAGAAATTGCAAATTGCTGCTTTATATTGAGAATGTTGAGAGCAGCACTGTAAGACTTCTGTCACCCAAAAAGAATGCCTGGGGATGCTGTGGAACTGAGTGTCCTAACTGATTGATGGGCTGTCATAAATGTATGTTGATATAGGCTTTTTCTCACTTGTCAGAATTTTCTGACAGAATTATTCATTAGCTCATAGCTCCAGGAAACATTGACTTCAAATACCTTGCAATTTATAACAGGTCTGTGAATAATATAGTCTCTGCTTTATGCACAGACTTGAATATCAGCCACTTTTCATTAGTAAGACTTAATATTAACAACCCCAGCTAGCCAGTGTTTGCTTAGACTTAACTTATTGAGGCAGGTTAGTTGAAGTACAGTTTCAAAAGCACACATGATTTCAGGGCTGAGTAAGTGCTGTTCTCCAGGCTGCTGAAATTTTTGGTCTGAATATAGAAGTTTCCATATTAAACAAGTTAAAACATATTGGCAAATAATAGAGTAATGGACTTGTGAAGCCAAAGGCTGTAGGGCTGAATGGAAATTTTTCAGCAAAAGGTGTGTACTTTTTTGGTTGGAAAATGCTGATTCTTCTAAATCAAAACTGAAAGGTTGTGTGGAAATGTATTGATTGTGGTTCAACTTTCGTTGGGAAGCTTTCTCGGTCTAGGAGGGAATTTTCTGGAATTTCCCTCTGTGGTTTCTCATGAAAAATTGTGAACATTGTTTTTCGTCCTGATGCAGAATGAAAACAAATTCTGAAAGCTTCCATTTTTGTGTGAAATGGAATTCTTGTTTTCTGGCGAGCCCTAAAAAGCTGTACACACCCTCCAATTGTAAACACATAATGAAGCAGGAGAGGAGATAGACTGTGGAAGAGCTGTATGTGTATACTCTGAATCCAGGAACCCACAGTTCCTCTCTATTTCAGCATGGAGAGATGATTTGAGGAATGGCCAGCGGATCACTCAATTTAGGCCAGTCAGCGTTAGGGCATTTAGATCTCAATTAGGATCCAGATGTCTAAACAGCCTGTGTAGTGGTCCCAGGTACTCTTATAGTCCATGGGCAGAAGAGCAGAAGCTGCACGGCCATTCCACATCATGCCCACAGGGTTGGAATTCCTGTCCCCTTCCTCTTCATACTTTGCACAGGGTGAGGGAGCAGCAATTGGGTCTAGTCCTTAGTGATGAACATACGTTGTTTTTGCTTTAATTCTAGTGTCGTTTATATGACCTTCGTGCAGATAGAGAAGTAGCAATTTATTCGAAAGAGAGCATCATTTTTGGAGCTTCTAGCGTGGATTTCTCTCTCAGTGGTGAGATTTGAATTTTGGGGGATATGTAGTTTTTTGCTGTGAGGAGGCATTTAGACTGGGATGCAGCTGAGGTTGTAATGTAATACTTTTTCAGTTTAAATTGAGAACATTTGTTATTACAAACAAGAGCTAAATTAAATATGGAAAGAATTTTTCCATCCATTAAAATATCTTCTTCCTTTGTAAAAGATTTTTTTATTAAATAATGTAATTGGTTATTTTTTAATTTTATCAACAAATATGTGGCTATGAGGTAAAATCCTGGCCCTATTGAAGTCAATGGGAATTTTGTCATTAACTTCAGTGGGGCCAGGATTTCACCCATCATATTTAAATCCACCTCAAATGCAACTAGAAATAGAATATTGGTCAATTTTTGTATTTAGGGTACATCTATAAATAGTTCATGAAAGGTTAATAAATGATTAATAGATGTTATAAGCATGTTACAGACCTGAGTAGTATATGATATAGGTGCTTATAAGCACATGAGTAGAAGTTGCTGTAGGTGGTTATATAAGCCACAGTTGTGAGCAAGATATTGAACTGTTGGACTCTATAACAAACTATAATAATTGATTAACCATTTATTAAAACATCTATTAATCACTTGGTAACCCTTTATAAACAATTTTATAAACATACCCAGAATATCATCAGAATATTTTTGATATTAATTGTTAAAGTGCTCTATTTGTCTTCAGTCTATATCCCTCTTTTGAATTAATCTCTCATCTGTAACAGTTGAAAGATATTGCATGTTTTTAATAAGTGCAATCATGGAATTTTTAATACTCTTTTAAAAAAGAGGGCTCAAATACCATTACTTTTCAGTTGCAGAAGAGGGCCTCCACTGGTCAGCTATTACTGGCAATTAATATCCATGCAGACCCATGATAGTGACATGTTAAGCATCATTTTCTGTAGCAAAGTGGGCACCCAAAATCTGAGGCTGGACTTGCATGATATTACTTTGGAGTGCATAAAGAGTAATTTAGTCCAATTTAGAATGAACGTATACACCTTTGTGTTGAAGCAACATCCTATAGTGCCCATGAAAGTAGAGTGAGGATGGCCTCGTATTTAAGGCATAGGATTGAGTATCAGGGGATCTGACTTCTACTCCTGACTCTGTCTCAAACTTCTTACAAACAGCTTTTGCTTCAGCCAGAAAACCCTCCTTCCTCTCCTTTCATTAACTGTTACTATTTAGCCATTTAAGCCATTATTCTGTATAAATGTGATTCTGTTTGCAGGTCGCCTACTATTTGGTGGTTACAATGATTACACCATAAATGTATGGGATGTTCTGAAAGGGTCTCGTGTATCCATTCTGTTTGGTCATGAAAACCGAGTTAGCACCTTACGAGTTTCACCTGATGGAACTGCATTCTGCTCAGGATCATGGGATCACACTCTACGAGTAAGGGATTTTTTTTTCCCCAAAAATACAGGGATTTCCATTGGTAATTCATTATAGAAAATGTCCAGGGGATGGAATATGAAACCAGTTGTTTCAAAGAAATTAAAGCCCAGTAATATCATGGCTACTGCTGCAAACAGTAGATAACGCCTAAATATTTCCCCAGGTCAAGAATATATTCACCATTAAAAGAGAGTGTTAGCAGAACATTATCACTAAACAATTAAACACTGGGAAATTATGAAATTATCAGTTAAAGTAACTGCTCCACCCTCAACTCTTTACCATTAACATCATTTACAAATTCCAAGAAAAGAATTAGGCTCTCATGCAAATTAACCAGGCTTTTGTATAAAACGTATGTGTTTGTATGGAATATAAACTATAATTCTCTAAAGAATTGTTCAACTTGTATCTCTACAGGTCTGGGCGTAAGCCACAATGCTGTTTTCAAATACAAATGAAGATTGAAACCTTGGGCTACAAAAAAAAAAGGAAATTTCAATCTGCAAATGTGAAATGTCCTTTAGAAAGATGTAGCATTTCTATTGTAGTTTCCATGACTTATTGATGAGATGCAAATCAAAATAAAACAAACACAAAAAACAAGCTAGGACAACTTGTTAGCCAGGAATAAATTCAGTATATTAGCTACACTATCAAATGTTGTTACTGAAAACACAAATAAACACAACTAGATAGTAAAGGTAATCTGCTTTTAACATATAGCAAACATCAACTTGTAGTAAAATAAAATGTTTTTAATTCTGTTTTTGAGACTACCTTCTTTTATTAGAGATAGTTTAGATCATTCTAAAACCAGACTTTTCTCTGAAATAATCTGCATCATAGAATTTTGTAGTCCAGTGCACATTATGTATTTATTATTTGCAAGAATTGATTTTTTTAAAGTAAATTTGAAAAAAAATAAATAAATAAACCAGACACCTTATTTTATCTGGGTATCGTCTATGACTTTTGAAACATTCCGTAGTAGTGCATTGAATTTTGATGTGAAAAGTTAGAAAGCAAATCCGCTTTCTGATACTTCACTTTATGATGGAGTTACAGATGATTCCACAATGGTAATAATTAGGGAGCAAAGAATCTAATATTGAAGATACTAGCTGTCATAAAAAGTATATTTTCTTGTTTAAAAAAGTCATTCCAATCTCTGTTTTTTCTTATATCCTTTTAGATGAAATTAACTATTTCACCTCTGACCTGAATTTAAAGAATTCAATTAAACTCCTCAAGATAAGCTACAAAGATGAGTAGTATAATTCATGGTTCACATAGTCACAAGGTAATATTTTAACCAGTAGTTTCATAGATATTTTTAATTGTATCACTTGGTGAGTGAATTTTCTTTGAATTAGAGAGATACTACTTCTAAGCACTAATAATGATAGTGATAATAAAATCTTTTCAAGTCAGCCATACTCATTCTCTGATCCTGGTTCTCATTTAAACTAAGGCCACTTTATACCATTCTAGCTGTGGAAAGCAGCCTTAACATGCTATAAATGTAATCTATTTCAGTGTTAAGGCCCCTTTACAATGTCAGAGCAGCATAAAGTGTCTTTAGTGTAAATGAGAATCAGACTCTCTGAGCTGAATTCCACAGTCCTTCCATTGACAAAGCTCCCACTGAAGGTAGTAATGTTTTATCCTAGTAGGACTGTAGGATCGGAGCCTATATGGAGAATGCACAAAAGTGAAAATTGGGAACGTTTTTTAAGAGCCCAATCATGCCAACAGTTGTTACAGCCCTACTGCTTACTACAGTGAGTCAAGCCAATGGGACTCCTCATCCAACAATGTCTAGCAGCAAATGTTTGCAGGATATGGCCCTATGGGTGAAAGTTGTCATGTAATATACAATGGCTGTGCCCATACAGATCCAATGATATATATATATAAAGCTGTAGCTGTACTCATATATTGAAAACTATTAAGGGCCAGACTGGGCCTTCTTTGCTCATACTGAATGGTACTTTACTGCTAAAATAGTCCCATTGCATTGGATGGATGTATTTGAGGAGTAAGGCACTACTCATTGTGAGTGAGGGTAGTACAGTCGGGCTCTCAAAATGTAATGAATAAGGTACATCTCTGAAAAGATAAAAGGTAAATTTTATATTTAGATTCAATCAAGAGTAAACAATTGGTCCTTGGGGTTGGTAGTTCACACTAAAATATCGATAACTTCAATTTAAAAAGTGATTTTTAAAAAATTGAGTGGATAATATTTGTATTTGAAACAAAGTCTCCTCATTCATGAAAAAATCTAGTTCCATAAATCCAGAACGAATTAATTTAGGACATTGACACAATCATTCACTTTACTTGGAGAAGATCAGCCTTCGCTCGTTGTCGAAATAGTTCATTTGTTCCTGCTTGGAAACGTCCGCTCCAATGCTTTGCAATATTTGTGGCAAATTATCCCTGTAACAAATTGAATGCACTATGGAAATTGTACTATGTCATCTGGAGCTCATTGTGCAATATTGAGTTACTATACTGTATGCATTTGTTCAAAAGATTAATATTAATGTTTAGATAATATGTATTGGTAAGATATTTGTTTTTGAACATACTACATTGTGTTGATACTTATGAATGGTCTAAATATAATAAATCATATTTTACATATTGAGAAAATGTGTATTTATAAACATCTATCACATAAATTAGTTGCTTTTGATTACACTATTGTTTCCACTCCTTGGCATATGCTCATGGCACCAAGGACTTTGCTCTGTAACCAACTGCTCATTTGTCCTACGAAGGACCTGATACAGTCAATCTGAATATGCTAGAAAGTATTTGTGTTCCTTGCCATGTGGAAAGAGCCATGGTGAGCAAAGGCAATGCTGCGGAGACAGATCTCACATAATATCTGCTAATTCCTCCATCCCTTTGGCAAGGAAAAAGGAGAGAACTGCTGGAGGATGAGTTAGGTCCCAGAGGACTGGAGAAGGGCAAACATAGTACCTATCTTTAAAAAGGGAAAGAGGACATGGGGTATTATAGACCAATACCTGGAAGGACACTGGAACAAATTATTAAACAATGAATTTGTGAGCACCTAGAGGATAATAGGAGTTATAAGGAATAGCCAGCATGGATTTGTTAAGAAGAAATCATGGAAAACCAATCTAACTTCCTTCTTTGACAGGATTACTGGCCTAACCAGTGGATGGGGAGGGGAGCAGTAGATGTGAGAGATCTTGATTTTAGTAAGGTTTTTGACACAATCCTACATGATATTCTCATAAGCAAATTAGGGAAATGTGATCTAGATGAGATTACTATAAGAGGAGTGCCAAGTGGTTGAAAGACTGTACTCAAAGAGTAGTTAGCAATGGTTTGCTGTCAAACCAGGAGAGTGTATCTAGTGGGCTCCTGCAAGGGTCAGTCCTGGGTCCAGTACTATTCAATATTTTCATTAATAATTTGTATAATGGAGTGGAAAGTACACTTATAAAATTTGCAGATGGCACCAAGCTGGAAGGGTTACAAGCACTTTGGAGGACAGTATTAGAATTCAAAATTACCTTGACCAATTGGAGAATTTATCTGTGTTCAACAAGTTGAAATTCAATAGCGAAAGTGCAAACTATTTCACGTAGGAAGGAAAAAATCAAATGCACAACTACAAAATGGGGAAACTGGCTAAGAGGAAGTACTGCTGAAAAGACTCTGGGGGTTACAGTGGATCACAAATTGAATATGAGTCAACAATGTGATGCAGTTGCGAAAAAGTATAATATCCTCCTAGGGTGTATTAACAGGAGTGTTGTATGTAAGACACAGCTGGTAATTGTCTCTCTACTCTGCATTGGAGAGGCATCAAATGGAGTACTGTGTCCAGTTCTGGGTACAACACTTTAGGAAAGATGTGGGCAAATTGGAGAGAGTCCAAAGGAAAGCAAAAATGATAAAAAGGTTTAGAAAAACTGACCTATGAGGAAAGGTTTAAAAAAAAACTGGGTATGTTTAGTCTTGAGACAAGAAGCCTGGAGGAAGGGGACCTGATAATAGTCTTGAAATATTTTGAAGGCTTTTCTAAAGAGGACTGTGATCTATTGTTTTGTATGTCCACTGAAGGTGGACAAGCAGTAATGAGCAGTAATGAGCTTCATCTGCAGCAAGAGATTTAGGTTAAATATTAGGAAAAACTTTGTAATGATACATATATAATACCACTTAGATCTGTAATAACATAAGCAGAAGTATCCAGCCTTGGGGAGCAGTGGTAAATGAGATACAATGCAGAGGGACTGAGCAGGCTGACCATAAACAAGTTCAAAGTACTGAGTATAAAAAGGGAAGCTACATCAAGGGCCAATTCACTGTCAAACATCCATTGCTTCGTTCTGTTAAACAAAATTAATGTATAAACAGGAAGGGAGGAACAGGAATATGCTAGAGAAGTAGTTACTGGATATCTCTCTTGCCATGGGAAATGCCATAGCAAATTCCTGCTGGAAGATTTACAATCACAGGGAAAAGCTCTGATTTAAACAATTTTATGCGGTTGCCCTAGTGAAAAGAAAACGGTAACATCCCAGGTTTCTTATCCAAAACTTAACTCATAAGCCCAAGTTAAATTTCCCTGGTAAAAAATCAATTACCTTATATGGGGTTGTTACACTGAGTTTGCCCTGACGATGAACCCAGGAGAACAGGCCAGTTCTTGATAGTGATCTAACCACAACAAGCTGCAATAGGATTGGTTCCAAATATCTATATCTTTAGACTATTTCTGAGTAGATTTGCCGTTCATAAAAAGTAATGTAGTCTTCAAGATGGAAGACTTCCCTTTTGCACAGGACGGGTACAGCAAAGACAGCAACATTAGCTGCCCTATAATGGGTCTTGATCCTATTCTAAAGGGTTCATCTCTAGGAGTGAGAGGGCACTTCAATGTACATCCCAGTCAGTTACTCTTATTGGCCTCTTTGCTGAGATTGCCACTTATCAACAATAGTGATGTTGGACACCTGGTCTGCCACCAACTCCATTCTCATGAGCCACCAGAGAGCCAGTTATTTTGATCATTACCAGCCTGGGCTGGAGTTGAACTCATGACCTCACAGTGAAAGGTACTCAATCCTCCTTCCAATCCTCCAGGAATCCAGTTGCTCTGATTTGAAGACTGGTTAATGAGCAGACTTTTGTATATATTGAGTCTTCTCTGCCTCCCTCTCCCCCCACCATATGCTGCACTGTATAGCCACTAACCCAATGCACTACTTTTATTTTAATCTTGCCTAAAAATAGATACTTGAAAAGCACCTCTGAATTTGGCCCAGCAGCTCTCATAAAAGAAATGACTCTGAGCTCTAAATTTTGTATGAGCTTTAGCCACCAGCCCACGTAAAAGAAAATGTCATTGTGTTGTTTTGGTAAATGCAAAACCCAGACAGCCAATATTCCTTTGTGCACCTGCAATTCCCATTGATTTAAATGGCAGTTTTGGCTATGCAGGATTGGACCAGTAATGTTTTAATACATGCCAGAATCTTATAGGCATATCTACAGATTTGAGCTTGGGCTGAATGGTACCACCCCAGATTGTTTGTGTGTGACAATTGACCTATACAGTAAATATGTCTGGATTGTCTGTGGATCTGGAAATAAATAACAGCCACTTGGAGCTTTTCAACCATTAATTTGTTCATAATTCTGGAAACTGTTTTAATCTCTCACTTTTTTTAATGTAATAGTTTTTATCCTACAACCCACAGCTTTTTGACAACACCTGACTAAGATAATGCTTTGACATTTTATATCATAAGTAGCTCCTCTTGCCTCCCTTTTTTATAAGTAAATGCAATTAGTTTACATTGCACATGATTAATTTCACTTTGATATTTGTTTAAAAATAATCCAGTATGTTTCCTGGCATTTACAAGAGTCCAGGTGGGCGCTGTGTATTTGGTGTGTTATTTTCCAAAGATGTCAGGCAGGTCAAGAATGTGTAAGTGCAATCACATCCATTTGGCTCCTAATGAAGGAGAAATATGGAAGTGGGTGTGTAAAAACATGCAGCGGAAACCCTGTTGTCACTACAAAATTCATCCACATTTCTGTAGTGCATATGTATGTTATTTTTACAGGTCAAATCCTGCTCCCTTCACTTTTCCTGGGAACAGGATCTGGCTTATAAATAAGACTGAAGGTTCAGCAGCTGTGAATTGTGCCTAAGCATACTAATGAAAATATAACCACCAAGAAACAATGAGCATGGCTCCCCTCTCACTCTTGATTCACATGGGGATAAAGTGAGGACTTGTCTATGCACAAAAACTGAACTGCTTTAACTATACTGGTTTCAAGGCTTAAGTATGGATGTAGTACCTATATAGCTTATTCCTGTGCAGGAAAGGGAATGTCAGTACAACTGCATCCACCCTTGGGTTTATAATCATGTTGGTTAAAAAAAAATCACATCCCTAACCAACAAAGTTATACCAGTACAAAAACTGTGTACAAGCCAGTCCTGAGGGAAGACTGGGACTAGACTGTTTTTATGTTTTCTGCCTGATATTTTAGTTTAGAAATAATATTAATAGGATAGAGTATTGTAATAAGCACTGGAGAGGTCCCTTACCATGAGGTGCATGGGGAACATTTATCAAATACAAAGTCATCTCCCTGGCCCTTCTAGGGGCCGGGTACCCTCCTGCCCCACCCCTGGGCAGGACAGAGCCCCCTAGTGCCTGGGTACCTGCACCCGGGGCAGGATGCAGACCCCCAGTGCCTGGATATCCTCCCACCCCCCTGGGCAGGACAGAGCCCCCTAGTGCCTGGGTACCCACCCTCAGGGTGGAAGGCGGCCCCGTAGTGCCCAGGTACCCATCTGCCCCATTCCCAGGGGCAGGACATGCTCCCGCCCCACCCCCGGGACACGACGCGGCCCCTTAGTGCCTGAGTACCCGCCCCCGGGGCAGAACACGGACCCCCCGTGCCCAGGTACCCACCGCCGGCCCGGGGCAGGACGCGACCCCTAGCGGCCGGCTGTGAGCCGCTGCCTGCCGGGGCGGGGCGGACAATGCCGGGGACACGTGGGCGCTGCGGGGGCGGGGGGTGGCTGCTTAGTCCGCGGCGGCGGGGCTGCAGGCTCAGCCATGCCGGGCTCGCTGAAGGAGCAGACGGCGCTGCTGCTGGGCGATTACTTCCAGCACCGCCTGGGGGGCCCGGCGCTGCCGCCGCCCAGCCCCGCGGCCGAGACGCTGCGGCGGGCGGCCAGCGAGCTGGAGAGCCGGGAGCGGCCCTTCTTCCGCGCCTGCCGCCCGCTGGCCCTGGACGAGCGCCGGGAGCCGGCGGCGCTGCTGAGCCGG